TTTCTCAAGTTGATAAAATAGAGCATAACAGTACCAATACCAGCAACTGATGAAAAGATGCAAGAAAATGTAGTTAGTGAGGTTCCTCAGAGGCTAACTGCAACAGTGCTGGTTGTTGAGAGAACGTGACACAGCCAAGTACACAATTATAAACGGATGTGTAAAAGATTTGTTTTTTGTATTAATGTGAACAGGTTAGAAGTCGTGTCACCAAAACCTGGCATTTGAACAGAGGGGGGTAACAACTCTTTGTAGACAAGGTAAGAGGTAGTATCAGCAGTTCTACTAAAAAAATGCGGGTTTCGCGCTACAAGCAATTCTCACACACCCAACCCGTTTTGCGTAATATGTGACCAAACTCAGAAAACAGGTGAGCCGTGGCATTCGCAATGCAAGAACAAGGGCACTAACGTCAACTCCAGTCGACAGCAACGGGGCAGTATCATGTCAAAAGGCTGCGCCCTGAAGTGGCGAAGAATGGGTGAATGCATCTTAATTCTTCTTCTACCAATGCAACATTAATCAGAAAAGCGTGTTTAGATTAGCAGGGGCTCATAGAGCACATTATTGCAAAGAAAATGTTTGACTTCCACTTTAAGATAAACAAGTACAGGGCCCTAATTGCAGCCACTGCATTGAGCGTAATGACGAGTTAGATTTTGAATTAGTTTTTGTTTTGATTCCGGTCTGTCAAAATATTGCTAAACACAAAACTTGTCAGTGGCGCAAAAAAATGTTGGGGACTGCTAATTTAAAGCCCCCATCCCACTGAGCGGCAAACGATTGTGAGTTTTTGCGGAGGCAGCGAATGTTGCGTTCTTGTTAGGGTTTATTCAAGGTCGCATTTGTTCGCCATACATTTGCCTGTCCTTTTCTTGTCCCAGGGGAATTTTGAACATGTTCATAATTTCCTTGCGGCAAGAAAAAACACAAACTGTTGGCGAACGTTTTGCAAACATGCGCGACCTTGAACAAACCCGAACAAACTGATGCCAGCACGCGTTTTGCGACCAACTGCTGCAATTTTTGCCCATCAGTGGGAAAGGAACTTTAAGGGATGCATTACTTTTGTGCGATGAGTATTTCTGTCCCACAGTTGAAGGCCTATTGTTTACTGACAATGCCATTAAAATATATACACTTGTAGCAAACTCAATTAGCCTTAATGTGTTAGGATTTTTTTTCCCCTTTAAAAAAAAAATATATATATATATATATATATATATATAGTATTTTTTTTTTCATTTTTGGATCACGTTGTCATTTGTATGTTGTTTCTTTTTGCTGGTAATTCCAAATTGTGTGGCCTTCCTCCTGAATGTAACATCCACTATTATGTTCTGGATGTCAGCATGCCAAAGCAGACTATGCACTGTACACCCGACCCAGTCACTGTGTCACCTCTTGGTTCGTTTTTGTGCTTGTGTTGTGGTGCAGGTGGTTGTTGTTGACTGGTCAATCCCGTTCATGACTTAATTAATGAGTGCAGATGTGTTCATATTTGTTTGTGGATGTGCATGGAAGACAACCTGTCTAGAACACCGACCCTCCCCAGAAAATAGCTGTAACTTGATGTTTCAATGCACCCTAAAATATTTCACCCACTTTACAGTGCGCTGCTACAATGTATTATTGTCACATTTCCATCAATATGAAGGGTGTAAGTTAGCGTTTTGTGTAATTGGACATACTACTTAATGGAATGTTTTATTTGAAAGAAAAAAAAAAGTGCAAAATATTTTGCTTCGTTCAAGACACGCACACACACGCACATACATTATATATATACAATATATATATATATATATATATATATATATATATAATATATATATATGTATGTGTGTGTATATATGTGTGTGTGTGTATGTTAAAAAACACATTTTGATTTACATCAGTGTAAATATCATTTGTAGATATTGTTTTTGTATATTTTTGTGAGATGTTTCTTAAAGTCTGCTTTAATGAGAAAAAATGAAAAAATGAACAGGGGTTCTAACCCGTGAGTGTATGATGCCATGATGTGTGCAAATAGAAAAAGTTATTTAACCAATGTGATGAAACTATTGGTGCTCAATTATTAATAAAAAAATTTCCTTGACTGCTCTTTTAATTTAACTCAAAAGTTTTTTTTGTTTTGTTTTGTTTTTTTTTTACATGATCGACAGGGGAAATGACGGCACCAACTAAATTTTATGAAAATAAGAATTACCACATTTTTCCTCAGTCATTTTTGGAGCATTTCTCAAATCATCCTTGAAATTTGCAAAGCAAGAAGTGCTTGAGTTATCCTCATAAGTCCCACATTTGTCTTTTTAGAAAGTTGGCACCAACTTGAGCAAAGATCCATCATTTTTTAGTTGAATTTGTTTTTGTTCATTCTATTAAGTTTTCATTGTTACTCCTGTCGCTGTAGTTGCTGGTAGTTTTCTTTGTGATGTACCAATTCCCATGTAGATTTAGTGGACACTATTGTGGACTGTGTGTTTGAATCAAAATTATGAACCTCTAAGCTTCAAAACCAAACTCAAAACTCAAAATGTAGCACCCTACGTACGAAAGACTGATTTACAAATAGGTTCTCTGCAATGACCTGATGGCAGAATGTTGTGAGGTGAGAGACAATTTAACAAAGAGCCATCATCATACATTTTGATTAAGGTGACTTAAGGAACCGACAATGTTAAAAACAGCAGGCAATTGGAAATAATCAATTGCATGGATGTGCCAAAGCATTTGCATGAATGTGAAGAGTGAACACGTAGTTTTGACAATTTCAATTCTGATCTGAAAAATGGCAGCTGAGAAAAACTGCAAGCAAAATGCCTTTTGGGGCATTTCAATAACATGTACATGTACCTCCACATCACATTGCTGATATCTTACTTTTTCAAAATAGTTTGACTGAATCACTGCATGTCTGCAATCAATGATGCCTCAGTTTCTTAATAATCCACGATCAATTCCACCCAACAATCCATTATGTCAATTGCTGCATCAAATACATTTCACTAAACCCCGGGAATTCACAATTTTCATCTTTTATTTGCAATCACATAAATACATCTGTTTGGGCTATTTACATATTTTACATGCATGAAGGAAACACTCAAAACTGAAGTTTTGCTTTTTTGTAAATCTGTTACAAACTGTTGATTATAGTGATTTTTTTGCCAGCGGTCACTGAAGTTTAAAGGTAGTTTCTGTGAGATTATGGGAAAAAAATAAACAAAAACGTGTATGGGTCTTGAAACCTCTTGTCACTTTTTACACTGGCCAGCCTGCAAAATGTACCTTGTCTATATGAAGTAGGCGGCACTACACATGTTCTGCAGACCACCAGTGCCGTGTCATTTAAAGTTTGACAGAGAAGGAGCTTCCACAGGAACAGCCGTGATCAGCTCGGGGATTCTTGAGCACCTGGAAGGTGGCACGGATGAGTTCTTGGCTGAAATCCACCGTGGCTCCTTTCACAAACTCCAGGCTATCCTGGTCCACAACGATCCCCACTCCGTCCTGCTCGAACACTCTGAAAGCACAGAGATGTGGACAGAGTGTATATATAGAGAGAATTTAATGACGTGAACAGAAAGGGCATGCTGTACCTGTCATCTTCGGTCCTGTCAGCATCGACGGAAAACTTGTACTGGAAGCCGGAGCAGCCTCCACCTTCCACCCGAATTCTTAGGTACTCTCCTTCCACCATGATCTCACCAAGTCTCTGAAATAAAACGGCCATGTTTGTTTGGAGGTCAGTGTTCAAATCCCGCTGCAGACAAAATACTAATATGGCTCCCAGTTGTTAGAGACATGTCAATCTGCTTCACGGTTGCAAAGGCGTTGGCCAAACATTTGCAACCGTTTTAAGCGTTGCAAAAGGTTTTTCATCGCGAAAGAAATTTTGAATATTCAAAATTTGATGGGCATGCTCATCTCTTTTCCTGCAAAAGACCAAGCAGCTTGCCACAGCATACTAATTATCAGGACGCCGCTGCCGGTTGCAATGCTAGCAAGCGGAAGTCACGCTTGCTATTGGCCCATATAAAAATTTCGTTATCACCACACCCTGGCCATGTCAATCAAAACAAGAAAATGAATGTATGATACACCTCTTCTAATGGCTCTTACTACACGAGAAACACAGTAAAACTTCCTCTGTTCAAATGAAAGCTGTTACAAGAGCACGAATGCAGTTGTTGGTGAACAATCGCTGCTCACCTTGACACACGACTCGGTGAGATGGACCTTTTCATCAAGATCCGACCTCTGCTGGCTTGCGGCGCCACTGAAAGGTCGAAGACTCACAGTGGAAATGGGCTGAAGGCTGCGGAGAGGCCCAGGAAAGCGTTGTCTCGCCGCGATGTTGTTGAGGAGGGCAGAAGCCCTGCAAAACATCACTGTGAGCAAAGTCATGGTAAACACGATCATGTACAGTGTCAATAACACGATGAGCTCGTGAACGGGCGAGCTAGCGAACGTCATCCTGACGTTCAAAAGTTAAAATTTCTCATCTCGCATTATAAATGGAGGTTGGAAAAATATATATGTGAATGTCGTCGTGATAGACGAAAGAACAATTTTACCTGGCAAGACTTAATAATTTGGACATTGACGCCGATATCATCGCTTGTCCCGCTAGTGACATCTTCCATAACAAATAAAAAGGAAGTCCCGTCCCGAGTAAGGGGAAAGATGCTATTGGTCAATGCCCTTGTCATTCGTAACGTACACGCGAGTGACTACAATGCGTAAAATGATTGGTTGATGCACCTGCCAATCATGAATTGAATACCTTTTTCAATTTCCCTCAAGTGTCTGTCAGGCACAAGATCCAGCCTTTTCTTATTTCTACCAATAATAAACAACTGTAAAATACTTATTTCTAGGATTATTTGAATTACTAATTAATTTATATAACTCTAATTTATTGCGTCCGTCTGTTGTAACTCATTCCACAAAAGGCGTATCCTGGCAGTCTAAATATTGGACAAATTTATCACTGGGGCGTTACTTCAAGTCGCGTGATATGAGGAAATAAAACGTGCTGTGGCCGGTTGTCTGCTACCATACATCACTCTGGAAGCCGCTAGAGAAGCCTAAGAACGAAACCGGGTACTGTTTGTTTTGTCGTATTTTACTTGAGTTTACTTTATTATGTTTGATTCAAACATTAGATGCTGAATTGCCAGGAAAAAAAACTGTCCGTGATTGCGGGCTTGGTTGGGAGTGTGGCTGCCTCTTGGTTGGCGAGAAATCAATCGGATCACAGATTGAACACTGTGTGCTAAAAGATTCTTTGAATTTGCATTTTGTCCTCAAGTCTTCAATGTTTGTTTTCTAGGTCGTCGAAACATGAATTTGAGAGCAGGCGTCGTTTTGCTCTGCTTAATGAGCCTCACCTGTGCGGATCCAGTCAAATACTTCGACTGTGGTAAGTCACGACTGTTCAAATACCAGTAACGGTCCACTTTTATTCACATCTATTGGGCTTCATTTGAATGCTCATGCATTCGATTTTTAAACGACTGTTTCTGTGACTGTTGGAAATCCCAGAAAAATGATGGGAAAAGTGTGTGTATTTTATATTAAGTTGGCAGTGACAAGTGCATTCCAGGTAGACAGTTATTGACGAGGTATATTTAGTATTAAAACAATTGATAAAAAAGTAAAGGGTAAAAAAGTTATACAATTTGTGATGTTACATTTTTTGAAGAGTTTTACACTAATGGGCCGATTTGACCCACAACATAAAAGTCGAGTAAATTAAACAAAGGTGATTCTGAGCAAACGGCTAAATCAGTGAATGAATGAATGAAACAAATGGGGAAAAAAATGCTAAATAAATGCAACAAATTTAAAATATGATTACAGGTTTTATAAATGTAAAGCTCGGTGGGCCAGATGAAAGAAGGGAGTAGGCCTTTATGTGTCCAAGTTTTAAAAATGACTAAACTTCTACATCCACAAAGCCTCCTCCTCACAAGTGATGTGCAATCCACAGACTATTTTTTTCTCTTATCATCAGGCTCATCATCAGGCAAGGTGATCATTGTGGACATTACTCCTTGTCCCTCTCTGCCTTGCCAGCTGCATAAAGGACAGTCCTACAGTGTCAATGTGACTTTCAACAGCGGTGAGTGATCCTTATTGATTAGGAATGTCTTCTCACTGTTATCTTAATTTTTGTTTGTTTTCTGTAGCTGTGCAGAGTAAGACGAGCAAAGCCGTGGTCCATGGCGTCATCGCCGGACTTCCTGTTCCCTTCCCGATTCCCATTGAAGACGGCTGCAAGTCTGGAATCCAGTGTCCCATCCAGAAGCAGCGGAGTTATCACTATGTGAACGCGCTTCCCGTCAAGACGGAGTATCCTGCGGTAAGCGTACATTTAGCAGCACTCTGAACTCGTCTGTGTACTTTTTTGAGTCCATAGATACCACCACATTTACACTGAGAAACTAAAGATAATGCTGAAAACATTTTATCTTTTTGGGGATTAGCAACTACCAATACCAGGTATCAGTATCAGGCTGATACAACCTTATTTCAAGGTATTAGATATTCATGAAGGCTGACGCTATCGGCCATCAATAAATACTCAAAGCGCCAAAAAAAAAAAAAAAATGCTTTTGCCAGTCGTTACCAAGACTGAGTGGTGAGAGCAGCCTGACTACCGCAAAACACAAGTAGATTTGCCATTACAAGTGTTGAACACCTTGAACATTTATGGTTGTCGGCCTTATCTGTTCCAAGCAGATTAGGGAGGGGGGAAATAAACTCTTAATACACTGCAGAGAATAACAGCTCAAGATGGTACTACCAAACCTGTACGTGTGATTGTGCACACCTTGGTTCCTGCATACATGGTAGACCCTTCACCTTCTTCAGGTTGGCAAGGTTGTCATTAGCTTGCTTCCCCCCCTTCTCTATTGGAGCTGGGCAGGTGTGAGTGCTACTAATTGATATGATGAATTAACTTCCAACTGATCAGGTGTGGTTGGGGAATCATTTTGATACTTTTGAAACTTTGTACCCATTTGCGTTCAAACAGTACAAATCGTAAGCATTCCAATATGTACAGTAGTGTAGCCATTGGACCCTTAAAGGTAAAAATGTTGCCCCTTTTTTCTTGACTGTGCATGCACTGGTTTTAGAAGCTGAGACCAGATGTCATTTTCACCTCATTTCACTTTTGAAAACTACCTTTACAAAAGGGCACCCGTTTCATTTCCTTTATTTTTATCTCCCACTTCTAGATAAAGCTGGTGGTGGAATGGGAACTGAGAGATGACAACAATCAAGATCTGTTTTGCATTAAGTTCCCTGTGCAGATTGTTTGAAACAAGTGATCTGCATAGCTGCTTTTTTTGTTGTTTTCTTTTAAGGTAATCTTGACCAGTAAAAACAAATGTAAATGATTATACATACAAATACTGTACTTGTTTTACTGACTCTGCAAACTGATTTTATAATACATATTTTTGGCACAATTTGATTGTACTACACCAGTGTTTAATGGCACGTTGCAGACAACGCAGTCAACATTTGTTAGCAACGCTTAATTCAGCAACTACATTGTCCTAATGGCTGCTAGGTAGTCTGAATTTACACATTTCTAGCTGTTCAAACTTTTGTAATTTCTTACTGTCTGTGCTATTGAGACATTGGAAACTGTCATGTCATGAAAATAAAGAATTCTCAATGTGTGAATTTGAGTGCAAAATGCAGAAAAAAAAAACCCACATCAATGCATTTGAGAAACTTGTATTGGTGAGCTCAAAGGCCAGCAGCAAGAAAGAGGGGCAAGATGAAACAGCCAGTAGTTGAATTCTGACAAAAAATAAATAAATCACACTAACTGGGACACAAAGCTTAACAGTGAAAGCCAATCCACCATTCTCTGCGTTATGCTGTACCACAGAAGAACTCTACAACTTGCTTTGTTAAATTTTTGACGTGCCTTTTTTTAATCTTGGTAAACAAAGGTAGATAAAGAGGTATGTTGTACTTCTCTAACCAAACAGTCATTAAGGCAGAATATTTGTGGAATGAGGAAAGAGATTCCACTTTGGCCCTTAAACTACTTTGGGGAAGTTGAACAGATACCAGTTGCCAGGTCACAGCATGAGTCAGATTTGCCTTGCAATGAGTCCAAAAGATGGAGAATTCCTGTGCAGTATGAAGCTGAAATAGTTTTCACAGTAAAGTCAATAGCAGAACGGTGCAACTGAGACCAAGCAGCCAGCCAGGAATTATTTATCAAGTCAATGGATGATCAGGAACAAAGCAAAATTGGTAGGGCAAGGTATCCCTTATGATAGCGGCAAGTGGACATTCGGTATTACTTTTTTTTTGGGCTCATTATAAACTTGCTTTGGTGTCATTGTCCATTTTGCTTGAGACTTTCGAGCCGCTGGAGCAAAGCGTTCCCAAAGGCTTCCCTGTAGCCTGGACTCAGTGTGTCCAGAAGCGAGTAAACTGTCTCATGGTACTGAGTGCTCAGGTCCTCATCCACTTCATTAAAAGCATAGCCCACCACCTATTTGGACAGGGGGAAGGAAAAAAAGTAAGTGTAAAAGCTTAGGACACATCAATCATTAAAATTTGAGTACTAGCTATTATTCAACTACAAAATGACGTCAAATTTGGGGAGACAATGAAACAGTTATTCAATCATTGCATCCTATTTTCTCCGTTTTATTTTCAATTTGGTATGGCCATCAGAAGACTAACTTAAACATGAAATGAGCCCTTATAAAAGAAAGCTTTCCCCACCCGCAGTCCTGCTTCTGTGAGCTCCAAGCAATAGTGGTTGCCCTCCCTTGTCTCCACATTGATATAAGCCACGTCTGAAGAATTGTTGAGGTTTTTTGACACGTGCATTTGGGCCACAGCGAAAAGGACGTCGTTGACAACGGCGTCCGCCTCCAATCTCATGTCCTTGACGTCGCACAGCTCTACACATTCGTCTTCGAAAGCAGATACCATGGGGTCCTCGGGCTGGCAGTCTACTTCCATTCCCTGCAAAACACACACACACACACACACACACACACACACACACTGCAATGTCATTAAATCATAAAAATACTGCTTTACAAAACATGAACTATGACCTTTCAAACAGGTGGTGTCATCGCACTTAAAAGTACGTGCTCCTGTACTTCTAGTTATAAGTGTTAATGATACACTTGAGTAGCGTCATAATAGCTGTGAATAACAATTTCATTCTGTTCTGTTTGTTTCTGAGAACAACCAAACAATGTCCATCAGCTCAACAGTAGAACAAGTTGACTCTTGTCTTGGCTCATGGGTGTCTATTCCCTGCATACCAGCTGCTAGCCCAAACACAAATAGTTTTCTGGGCCTTCACATTTTGAAGAATAGCCCTGCTACGAAGAGCAAAATCTCAAAAATGTTTTGACACCTCTTTTCGCAAACAGATTTACAATTACCTATAGATTCCACAAGATGGTAGCAAAGCATTGCTAAACATTCACGATGAGCGTTACAGAGGACCACAACAGACCATGTCATTGTACACACCTGATATATTTGGTAGGGGGCAGTGCAAAGTAAGTAGTCTATGTTTTACCTGACGAGGTACGCTGAACAGCTTCTGTTGGGGGGATTTGTGGAGAGATTGCGGATGATGATTATTGCAAGAGCTGGGCTGATTTGCTCAGAATGTGTTGAAGCTACAAAAGAAGACGTGAGAATACATTTTGTCATATGTTCGCTTTTTAAAATATATTTTTTACCTAATTAAAAACTGTGTTTGTGTGTGTGTGTATTATATACTTTTTTGTTTCTCTCTTTACAACTTTTTTAGGTATCTTGCTTTCTAGCAATTACGGTGTGACGTCATTCTCACAAAGCGTTTCGCTTTACCAGGTTACTGGAACGCAGCATAGGAGTCCACTACGCATTATAAATACGGCACTGTTGTAGTTTGTCTGAGTTTAACTTGAAACGTTTGCATAACACGCCGTACATTAATCACCATTTATCGGATTTACAGTGACACTTTTTACCTTGTTTCTCGTGTCTCGAGCAGTCAGCAAACAAACCCACGCAGTGTAGGCCACATATAATTAGTGCGTTTCATCGTGCAGCACATTAAGGTATGGCATTTGTTTCATTACATTACAATCGAATGGCCATGGAACACGTATTTGTAATTAAATGAAGAAAAAAAAACGCGTGAATTTTTCTTACCGAGGTTGTGTTCTCTTGTGGAAGCTTCCAGCCCAGAGTGAGCTCTCCGTCGGGGTGGGTGAGGTGACTGTTGATGGAACCCCGTCGAGGCGTTATTTTGTGGATAACTAAAACTACTCTGTTACGTAGTAATACCGTTTTTCAGTTGCTCAAGTTTGAATCTAATTAATTACGTTAAAAAATGGATAAAGTAAATGTGCCGCAAGTGACACCGCCATGTTATGACGCAACTGAGTTAATCCCACCTATAATGGAACGTCTCCAATTGGAAGAAAGCTACTGGTTGTAAAATGAGGTAGGCGGTATTTTACTTTTTTTAAAACATTCAATTGGCTCATTGAATTGATTGAAAGTAGCGCAGACCAATCGCTCGTGACCTATTACTTCGTTCTTGCTGCGGCTTCAACCTACCATCACCGATCCGGGAAAGTGTGTGCGAAGGCTCAGTTTGATGCGGAGTCATGAGAGTGTTTGTAAACAACGCATTTCGAAGGTAATTTAACTGTCAGGACATAAATCCGTCAACTCTGCTCATTCATTTAAGATGCGTGAACGCATCTTTTGATTTACACGCGTGACTTAGTGACACTGTTCTTGTTAACCGGCGTGATAACGTTGACTGTCCTTAATATGTTGTTATTGCTAGACAGCTTGGTCACCTTAGACTCGTTAGCTCCGCCGGCCGGTTTAGCAAATGAGATACCTTTGTCTCCTGTCGTGACAGCTCTGATAAACGCAGCGAATGACTAGCAGTGTATGTCGGCATGCTAAAAGCTATTTCGCATGTCCGTTTGCCCCCTTGACGATCGATAAACAATTGTAACGGCCGTGGAGCGCAATAGGCTGTAACGCCCCCAGAGCTCTTTTAAGTTGCCTAGTTATTTAATGATTGTGATGTAAACGTTTTGTGTCAAAGCACTCCCTGTGTTTATTTTGTGCAGGAAACTGGAGTCAAAGCACCCCCTTCACACATCATTGTGTACCATCATATCCTCCCAACATCGTGGGATGCGAAGGATGTCAGAATTCACGGTTTTTGATTTCTTTCACTCGACGGGATGGCACAACTGACTCGTTCCTAACAGTCTTTCAGACGAACATATTTTAGCCACAGGGCTTGAAAAAGACCTTCCTTTTATCTTTGCACTATACTGTACACGCATTGAGTCAAGATGCCCTGGCCATTCTCTGAGTCCATTAAGAAGCGAGCATGTCGTTACCTCTTGCATCGGTACCTCGGGAACTTTCTGCAGGAAAAATTGAGTTTGGATCAACTCAGTTTAGATCTCTACCAAGGCACTGGATCACTGGCACAAGTGCCCCTGGACAAATGGGTATGTTCATTTTAACACAAAACAATCTGCACTGACTCGAATTGAAGTGAGCATATTTTGTCTTATAGTCACTCAATGAGCTCCTTGAGACGGCAGATGCTCCCTTTGAGATTATTGCAGGATTCATCCAGACTATTTCTCTAACTGTTCCATGGGCAGCCTTGCTGCATGACAACTGTGCCCTTGAGGTGAAAGGTTTAGAGATGGTGTTTAGACCAAGGCCAAGAGTAGGTAAGCAGGTTTCAGAATGCCGAAAGTTGAGAAAAGCATGACATTGTTATTAATTAACTGCTCTGTCTGAAATTTTTAACATGCCACTTTTTTTTCTAGCATCTGGCACTGAGCCCGTGTACTGGTCCAGTTTCATGACGAGCAGCATGCAACTCGCCAAAGAGTGTCTGAGCCAGAAGCTCACAGATGATATGGGGGAAAATTTCCAACCGTTTGAAGGACTGGAGAAGTTTGCTGAAACAATAGAAACGGGTACATGATGTGCCAAGGAAGCCCCGGGAAGCACTTAGAGAAGTTAACGAGTGCAAAGATGCATCAATTAATTGCTGTTTCAATTGTCTCTCTTCTAGTGCTAAGACGAGTGAAAGTAACATTTTTGGATACAGTTCTGAGGGTTGAACACGTTCCAGAAAATTCCAAAACTGGAATTGCTCTTGAGGTTCGAATCAACAGGTAAGTTGCGACGCATACAAACCCAATTCCAATAAAGTTGGGACGTTATGTTAAACATAAATAAAAACCGAATACAATGATTTGCAAATCATGTTTAACCTATATTTAATTGAATACACGACAAAGACAAGATATTTAACGTTCAAACGGATGAACTTGATTGTTTTTAGTAAATAATCATGAACTTTGAATTTTATGGCTGGAACACATTCCAAAAAAGATGGCAAAAAAGACTGAGAAAGTTGAGGAATACTCATCAAACACCTGTTTGAAGCATCCCACAGGTGAACAGGTTAACTGGGAACAGTTGAGTGCCACGATTGGGTATCAAAGGAGTTTCCTTGATTTGCTCAGTGATTCAACAGGGCAATGATGGGGCCAGAGTCACGTCTTTGCGAACCACAGAGTAAGAAAATAGTCAAACCCTTTTAGGTCAATGTTCCTCAAAGTACAATTGGAGCGTGCCGTCGGCCCATGGGCCATACTCTACCCAACTCTGCTTTATTGGGTATTCAAAATTAATTTCAAAATTCGAAAATTTATCTTTTTATTTGAGTATACATTTTATTGATCATGTCACTTAAGGTTAAGAACAATAGTATACTCTTAATACACTTATCTCCTATTGTACTGCTTTTAATTATATATAAAAGGTGACATTATTCTTATCTTTTATTGCTGATTGGCAGCTAGAAATATCAGAATTCTGCGCTTTCCTCATACAGCCATCTGCCATGTATTTTAGTAAGTTACCAAATATGGTTCCTACAAGGTTCTGCATACAGGATTGAAGAAGTCCTTGGCTGTCGCAATTATGACTGAGGTCATCTGTTTCAGTGCTTGTTTGTTTGTTTGTTTTGTGTGTGGATTCTTAATCTAACTTTGTCCCGCTTTTTTGTTTTTGTCCAGGATTTTTTATTCTGATGAAACTGGGGAGGAGAGCTCAAGTGTGAATGTGCATCAGCCAATCACATTTGCACACAAAAAGCTACAGATGGAAGGCATCACTGTATTTTGGGACGAGTTCGCTGATGTGTCTCAAGCTGGTTTTAAATCTTCACCACCTCCGCCTGTTTGTCTTTTCAGATTCTGGCTCAACCCATTGCATGTTCCCACAGCTCCGACAAAGACAAGATATTTAACGTTCAAACGGATGAACTTGATTGTTTTTAGTAAATAATCATGAACTTTGAATTTTATGGCTGGAACACATTCCAAAAAAGATGGCAAAAAAGACTGAGAAAGTTGAGGAATACTCATCAAACACCTGTTTGAAGCATCCCACAGGTGAACAGGTTAACTGGGAACAGTTGAGTGCCACGATTGGGTATCAAAGGAGTTTCCTTGATTTGCTCAGTGATTCAACAGGGCAATGATGGGGCCAGAGTCACGTCTTTGCGAACCACAGAGTAAGAAAATAGTCAAACCCTTTTAGGTCAATGTTCCTCAAAGTACAATTGGAGCGTGCCGTCGGCCCATGGGCCATACTCTACCCAACTCTGCTTTATTGGGTATTCAAATTTAATTTCAAAATTCGAAAATTAATTTTTTTATTTGAGTATACATTTTCTTGATCATGTCACTTAAGGTTAAGAACAATAGTATACTCTTAATACACTTATCTCCTATTGTACTGCTTTTAATTATATATAAAAGGTGACATTATTCTTATCTTTTATTGCTGATTGGCAGCTAGAAATATCAGAATTCTGCGCTTTCCATACTCTACCCAACTCTGCTTTATTGGGTATTCAAAATTAATTTCAAAATTCGAAAATTTATCTTTTTATTTGAGTATACATTTTATTGATCATGTCACTTAAGGTTAAGAACAATAGTATACTCTTAATACACTTATCTCCTATTGTACTGCTTTTAATTATATATAAAAGGTGACATTATTCTTATCTTTTATTGCTGATTGGCAGCTAGAAATATCAGAATTCTGCGCTTTCCTCATACAGCCATCTGCCATGTATTTTAGTAAGTTACCAAATATGGTTCCTACAAGGTTCTGCATACAGGATTGAAGAAGTCCTTGGCTGTCGCAATTATGACTGAGGTCATCTGTTTCAGTGCTTGTTTGTTTGTTTGTTTTGTGTGTGGATTCTTAATCTAACTTTGTCCCGCTTTTTTGTTTTTGTCCAGGATTTTTTATTCTGATGAAACTGGGGAGGAGAGCTCAAGTGTGAATGTGCATCAGCCAATCACATTTGCACACAAAAAGCTACAGATGGAAGGCATCACTGTATTTTGGGACGAGTTCGCTGATGTGTCTCAAGCTGGTTTTAAATCTTCACCACCTCCGCCTGTTTGTCTTTTCAGATTCTGGCTCAACCCATTGCATGTTCCCACAGCTCGTCAATAAATGCACTCTTTTTTTTTTTTTTTTTTTACTTGTTTGACAGGAAACAGAGCCAAAGCTCTCTCCCAGCTGGAATCCCAAAATTATTTGTGAGCCTCATCCGCAATTCACAGAGACAATATCCTCAACAGCACCCTTTCAACCTGTGCAGGTTGGGAGTCTCTGTGGTAAAATTGAGCTGTCACTCACGCTGAAAAACAACCTAGCCATGCCTGGAGCAAAGGTGATTCAATGAATCTGTGTCGTATATAAGAATGTGCTGAAATTAGATTTTGGTATTGATATTTAAGACAAGAGGACTGTCATCTTTCTTTGCCTCTCAGCTGGACGTCGCTGGCCATATTGACACACTACTCGTTTTGCTCTCGCCACGCCAAGTTCATCTACTTCTGGACTTGTTTGGAGCGTTTTCGTTTGAACGTGAGTTCCTGTCTGTATATGTAACAGAGGCGTTTCTAAGCATTGAACTCTCCGAGCATTTCTTTACTTTTGTATGAAGGTGCACAGGAATGGGCCAAGGACAGAAAAAGTCGACCCATGCAGCAAGAGGATGAGTACCGACTCCACATGGAACTAAACCGCTGTCTGAAGAAGGACACTGCAATGGCAGGAGTAGAGGCCGAACTCTTTGAGAGCCAGACGACCCGAACTGTCTCAAGTCGAGGTTTGACTAAAACTAACCTCGACAATCAATAGTATACTCTTAATACACTTATCTCCTATTGTGCTGCTTTTAATTATATATAAAAGGTGACATTGTTCTTATCTTTTATTGCTGATTGGCAGCAAGAAATATCAGAATTCTGCGCTTTCATCATACAGCCATCTGCCATGTATTTTAGTAAGTTACCAAA